AAACTCTTCTGGGGCCATTTGGGTGGATTTTTCATATCTCTGGCTCCCCTTGCTGGATTTTGACATGTGACATCTCTTTCTAACCGTCAGAGCCAATGGAATCGAGGGGAACTCCCACATAGTCCTTATTTGGTCATGTGTGTGAGTTAGACTGACGCATAGCCAAAACCAGAAGCTGCGATAACTCTGGTGGCTACCATTAGCAGCTAACTTTTACTCTCCGATTTTTACATAAAAATGGAATTATGGATTATAAATAATTCAAATTTGTTGCCCAGAAACTTTATCAACCTATGGATTAACCGATTCAGCTGCGTTTTTTCTTGTTTTAATGCCATTGAACACGTCTTTTGATCAGATTGACAACTACGATGAGACGATCTCCCGTAGAAGCTCCGTAAAGGTACGTGTTGTGATGTCTGTCTTTGCTTCCCCTGTCGCGAGTTCGGATCACTCAGTGATGATACTATATACCTAAATAATCTGTGGAACCTCATCTTTAATCGGATATCTTGTATGTGCAGCTACGATAAGTAATAAGGGTACTTTTATCTTGAGTTCTGTGCCAATGACCGTTAAATTGTTTCGCTAAGGGGTAATTTAGATGCTTCTTATGTGACTTGTGTTTTTGTTTTGGTAAAAATTGTTTATATCGTCAGTTAGCTGAGATTATTTCCGTTAATCTGGTATAACACATTAATAGGTTCTTAAATATTAAGATCCCCTGAGACAGTGTCCTGAAAAAAAAAACCAGGGTCCCTAAGGGACGGCTCAAGTCAAAATTCAAAACAACCCGCTCTCTGGGTGGATGCCCTCTCAGCCCTGTTCTGGCGGAAACACTGCCCGGTACCCATCCCTACATGGGGAGGGGCACAGCATATTGCTAAGGACTAAATACGATGGAGGGTTCTCATCTCAGCCTTATTACCCATAGGGGTTGAAGAGGAGTAAGTAAATAAAGAGGCCGGCACTCCAGGATCTGGTTCAGCTGTGTGTTTTCTTGATGTAACAGTAAAACATTGCAGAATTCCTCCACGGGATGTCTTTGTACATCACTCACCCCGTGAAATACACACACTCAGTACATAGCTAGACCTACGAATTTGCGGGCACAGCTTTGTGTGCATTTCGCGGCTTCCACAGATGAAATATTTGTATATATTTATTTTCGGAGCATTTAATTTATTCATTGCCATCGGGATGTGAAGAGCATTCCATGGAATATATTCCCACAATAAGACACGTGTGAGGAACACTATAACAAAATCTTGCTGTGTTAGGTTTTGAATTTTTTTTTGACCACTTCTAAAGAATCTTTAAGGCCCCCCCCCCCCCCCCCTTTACTGTCATTGTACCTAGAGCAGCCTCTGAATGCCCCAAGCCCCTCCTTTGTGGTTGTAAAGTGTCATGAGGCTGTGATTATCCCTGAGCTCACAGCAGCTCATTCTATACAACAAGGTGAAATTTCAAAAATAGGGTCACACCACGTGAATACAATTGGGCTCAGTGGATCCAGAGGAGGCTCGGCTTTCCTCGATCCTTCCCAATTTATGCAATTCCAAGATTGTTTAGGGACCCCAGAATGCAGAAACCATTTTGATATTTTCTACCTTTTTTTTTTTTTTTTTTATATAAAACTTGAGCTTGCTACAGCCTCAGAAACACAGAAAGTTGTTTTTGAGGGCGATGAGATTAAAATCTTGCCTCAAGTTTCACACCTGTTAAGATCGTATCAAACATCTGTAAACTGCACAAGTCATTTAATAAGAAAAAAAGTTAAACTTGCGTGAATTGAATCGTTTCTTTTCTTCAAAACAAATTAAAAACAATATTTTTTCTGAGATACAATGGAGTGGTGGTTACTGGACAAAAGGCCAGTGGATCTTTCCTTTGCATCACTGCAGAAAATAAGTTGTTAGGCAAACACACCTATATGACTTATGTTTTATATTTGTTTTGTATGACATGCCAATTTAAAAAAAATTCAAGCATAAATGCAATCTCCTGAAAAGCTCGTGGCCGCATGACTTCCCCTCATCGCCACTAACCTAAAAGCAGCTAATGTTTGGCTTGATGATGTAGCAGTGTCATGTAACCACTTGTTAGCAGATGTAGTTTTAAGACCTTCACCAGTGGGGTATTTACTGACTGATCTCCTCTCCCCTTCTGTTGCTCTCTAGGTTATGAGGTGACCACCATGGATGAAGCTTCAAAGGAAGGAAACATCTTCGTCACCACCACCGGCTGCGAGGACATCATCGTGGGACAGTAAGTTTCTAGTCAAACTCCAAATGATTAAAATATCCTAGATTTTAGTGTCTAATGACGCTTACTGCAGTTTAACAAGAGTGGTAATTATTTTGTGTTGCCCTTCAGTCACTTTGAGAGCATGAAGGACGACGCCATTGTGTGCAACATCGGACACTTTGACTGTGAGATCGACATAAGCTGGCTCAACAAGAACGCTGCAGAGAAGATCAACATCAAACCTCAGGTAGGAACATTTCTATATTATAGGCTTATCTTCAGAGTGTAGCGTCTGCTCTCTTCTGTGTCTTTCAGTAACATCTATCTGTGTCTCCTCCTCCTCCTCCTCAGGTGGATCGCTACCGGATGAAGAGCGGCCGTCACATCATCCTCCTGGCCGAGGGCCGCCTAGTGAACCTGGGCTGCGCCATGGGACACCCGTCCTTCGTCATGAGCAACTCCTTCACCAACCAGGTACTGAGGCCAGAGAGAAATAATGGAAGTGCGCCGGTCACCATAACGACTGGAGGGATAAACAATAGTTTTGTCACTTTATATCGCTAATGTAATGATTATAATGCATGTACACCCTTTTTTTTGCATGATAAGAATATTCAACGGAATTGGCGTGTGAATAGATCTAAAAAAGAACCAAACTGCCAAAACAATGAATAGGAGCTGTTTACAGAAATGTGTAAAGCCCGAGTCTCACAATGGTTATGGAAATGTTTTCCACTTAAAAATTACGTTGTGCAAAAGAACACGTATGCTAATGCAACAAGCAAAGACTTGGTCAGAGAAAATTATCTTTAGTTATATCCATAGGATGGGTCGATCATGTAATCATGTGAAAGGCATACAGTACTTCGAAGTCTCCAACAAACACAATTTAAATGTTCAGCCATGACATAATGTTGCTTAATCTGCTTTATGAAACGGTTTGTGAAAGACTCTGATTCCCCCCCCCCCTGCAGGTTCTGGCTCAGATCGAGTTGTGGAAGAACACCGACAAATACCCCATCGGAGTCCACTTCCTGCCCAAGAAGGTCAGTGTCCACATGTTGATAATGCTGTGTATTTGATGCTCCTCTTGATGCACTGCAGCTTGGAATACATGGGGATAACTACCGGTAACATTTCGGTTCGGTAAGTACCACGGTTTTTGGGTCACGGTTCGTTAAGTTTTCGGTACAGCAGAAAAAATTATCACAAAACATAAAATATTTTTTGGGTTTTAATTATTATTAAACTGTGAATAATGTATTCACTCAAATAAATACAAAATATAATAAAATAAACATTAAGGTGCAGCATTTCGATGAACTGAAATAATCTGTATTTGAACTTTATTGTATTAGTACTCACAAAACATAAACTATTAGTTTGGGGTTTTTAATTAGGGCCCGAGCACGGAGCGCTAGGACCAAACGGGGTCCTAGCACGAAGTGCGAGGAAACCTATTGTTATTGGTGGTATTATTATTATTATTATTATTATTATAGTGCTGGCGTTTCCTCTTTTTGAGGTCTTTAGGATGCTTAAAAAGTTGTGTAATTTTGCACGGACGCCAGGACTGGTGAAAAATTCAATATTCTGGAGTCAATGGGTTCAAATTATTCAACCTGCTCGCTAGCGCCACCTATGAAAAACCCATTTCGGAATACATTTACAAAGTCGCACCATAACTCCAAATGACCTGAAATTTTGCACACATATCCAGGTGGACCTGCTCTACAAATAATCCTCTTGGAGGGTCAGACACATTACCGTAGAAAATGAGCATGTTAGGACGATAAATATTGCCGCCGTCAATCAAAACGTTCTCGCAAAAAGGCGGGGCTTAGAAATAAATGCTCATAACTCATCAACAATGTATCCAAACATCACAGATTTTGGTAGATAGGTTCAAACTGTCTTGGGGAATAGGCACACCAAAGCATTTTCCTTTTGGAATATAGGGGGCGCCAAAAACACCACCAATTTATAACTCGATAGCGGATGGCGCGGATATTTTTTTTTTACACACACTCTCGGGGTGACTACGAACTCAGATTTAAAAGTGTCGCAACAAATTCAGAATGTGGACGTGGACTAAATTTTTTTTTTTAAATTGCGATGGCATAAAATGAGCTTCGGACGCAAAAATTGGGACACACGTCAGAGCCCACGACCTTTTCAAGAATGAAAAAAACCCCGTAATTTTTCAAAAAACTGCTCACTAGCGCCCCCTATTGTGTGGTAGTCACATATAGTTTCTCAGAACTTCACGAANAAGAGATTAGGCTATGGATCCTGTAGAAGAATGTATGACATGCCTCTATTCACATTGAAATAAATAACTTATGTACCCTGAGCCACTAAGGGTTAGAATTAACGAAAAACTTAGCATGTAGTTTAAAACAAACATTAATGTGGCTTTAACAGGTACAAATGAAATATACTGAGTATATTAAAAGCCTAAAATGAACATAAAAGTCATGTTGGGTTAAACATAGGGTAAATTAATATACCTATATTAAAGGGAAATTTCAATTAACATAACAATTCATGTTTTCTTTGACATAAACATAGTTGTTGTCTCTCTAACATAATGGAAATAGTTTTGAACACCATGATTTTAATATGTGCAACTGATCTCCATTGTTTTTTATACTTAGTCCAACAGACTCTTTACAGTGAAGCTTAAATAAAGAAATCATGTTGCTTTAACAGGTACACGTTAAATATACTGAGCATATTAAAAGCCTAAAATGAACATAAAAAAGTCATGTTGGTTAAACATAGGGTAAATAAATATACCTATATTAAAGGAAATATTCAAATGAACATAACAATTTCATGTTTCTTTGACATAACATAGTTGTGTGTCTTTAACATAATGGAATAGTTTTGAGTACACATGTTTTTAATGTGTGCAACCAGTTTCCATATTAAAATCATGTTAATCCAACGGCCTTTTTTTTTCAGTGTATGACAGCCAGTCTCTGCAAAGAACAATATCCTATTTTTTCTCAAATGCAGCATTATTTTGTCATTAACAAATACACAGTGTACGTTCTGCACATGTAATTATATGTTCTTGTCTTTTTATTGCAGACTCTGCCTTAAATAAATCTGAGAGGAGCTACCTGATTGGTGGATTCTGCTGTCTGCTGTTGGGAGCAGTGTTTCTGTCCTCGTGAATGATCCAGTACAGAAGGAAAAGCTGCAATTACCAAATTTAAAGCATTTTAAAATCCAGCTAGTAGCCAGAACTGCCAGATACTTTTATTGGAAAAAGGGTTGAAACACTATAGGCTGGATTTTAGTGGCGGGATTATTTCGAAATGTACTTCTTTAAACCTTTAACAAAAAAGTTTTCACAAACTTTTGGAAATGATCTTTGATAATGATAAAATAAGATGAACCCTGATAAGATAAATCCCGGAAAATGAAGGTGTCAGATCTGAAATAAGAGCGAAAAAATGTAAATATACATTTTAAGTTAAAATATTTAATTACAAAAATTACAATATGATTAGGTAAAACACAGAGAAGCTAAATGTACAGTACATGTACAGACATAAATGAAGAATATCATGAATATGAAATGGTATAAATGTTGATGTCTATGTGCAAGTGTATCAAGTCTTCTTGTTGAGGTTGGTTTTGCTTTGTAGAGCTGAGGGGAGATAAACTGGCTCTCCAACAGTTATAAGAGAGACTAAAGGATGATCAGAAGCCTATTTCAGAATCTGTAGAGAGTGATACGACATATTGTTCAGGCCAACTCGGAAGTTAGCATCACAGGGGCTTCCTCCACAATAGCAATGACAATTTTTTTTTTTTAATATTGAAGAAAATATGATCTGTGGCAACATTACGTGTCATTTGTTAGACGCTTTTATCCAAAGCGACTTACATACATTCGGTACTGTGGGCAATCCCCACAGGAGCAATTTGGGGTGAAGTGTATAGCCCAGGGACACAACAACATGCTGACTGCAGTGGCACTCGAACTTGCTATACCCTGATTCAAAGTCCAGCACACTACCCACTGAGCCACAGCCTCCCTCCATTTATGATACTATCAGGTTTGTCCACAAGCATAATCTCCACATATTAACACCTCTTTAAAATAGTTGAAGTGTAAATGCAATCTCCAGAAGTAAAAGGGTAAATTTACGCTATAAACAAACAAAAATACGGTCACATGACTTCACGTCACCACCGCTAAGCTAAAATAAGCTAATGTTCGGCGAGATGACGTTTACCACTTGTTAGCAACCCCTGTTTTCTTTAACACATATAAACTTCAGACATTCAGGTGTGTTTACTGAAGAATTTGATGTCAAAGATTTTGTTAACCACAGACGTAATTTTCCGTTGAAGTGCTAAATGCTAACTCATCCCCAGGTTTAAGGACTCATCCCTGCACCACTCTATTTCAGTAGAGTATGTATGAGTTATCGAGATATTTCAGTGGACACCTCTCTAATGTTTGAGTTCCCCTCCAGTGCTTCCATCCTATCATCGCCACGGTTACACAGAGATATATGTGTATGTGAGTGTCACGGAACTCCGTCCCCATGGCGACGGTAAACAGCTTTGTCAGTGTAACTTACACACAGGTGAAACATTAGCCGGACAAACTAAAGAGCCTCACACACATACATACACACAAACACACACACACTCTCAGGACAGATGGCGGATCCACAGGGAACATCTAAGCCCATCAACTTTGTGCATCAAGATGAAATCTGGTAAACCTGCTCACTGTTATTTGATTTAATGTTGCTTACCATTGGTATTTAATGTATCACTCTTTGTGAAAGAGGCCAGAGTGATTCACAAAGATGTATTTGATTAGTTTTGGTGGGGGGGTTGGCGTAAAGTTGACTGGATGTTCAAAAGTCAGAATAAGTACTAATTATAATCTTTATTTTGTTTTAAAACATGAGACGTGTCTTCCTGTGTGATTATTGTGAATGACTTATTGTTCATTGTTAACACTTTAATATTGTTGTCATTTTTTAAATCATTTTAATTATTTGTAGTTCGTAATCCTAATGTGTTTTCCACTGGGTTGATTTCACTCTCTTTAATGTAAAATAGATAGATGATATATCTGCAGAGCACCATGTTGTTGACATGGTATACATTATATTTTATTAGAAACATTGTGTATACATTTAAATATTTGGTAGTATCCAACCAGAAAATGTTATCATTACAGCATTAAAAAGTAAATAAAAAACATGTTGTTTTAATTTAAAAAAGTGCATAAATCAATTTCCTTATGCGTGTTCTCTAGCTCGTGCTAGTACTACGATGAACTACCTATATATGCCTTGTTTAAACAAAGATAAGCCATTTATTATTGTGTTAGCATCTCGCTTCAGCTTTCTTTTTCCTTTTGTTTTGTGCAATTCAAATGGTCAGCATAAAAGAAACACATTATACATGTGAGACAGTAAAAAATCAGTGGGAGAACTAGACTCAAACAAACCAAAGAGCAGGCAGCAGCTACATCAAAGAGAACAAAATAGATGGGTTTGCCAGTTTCAAATATGTGTGTGTGTGTGTGTGTGTGTGTGCGTGCGTGTAGGAAAGCACATGTAAAAGTTGAGAAGGATTCGGCTTCTGTCTGGCCAAGCAAGTGGGGCTCCCTGACCGAGGCTTACAAAGGAGGTACACACACACACACACACACACCACACACACACACACACCAACACACACACACATCACACACACACCACACACAACACACACACATCACACACACACACAACACACAACACACACACACACACACACACACACACACACACACACACACACACACACACACACACACACACACACACACACACACACACACACACACACACACACACACACACACACACACACACACACACACACACACACACACACACACTATTGTAGTGAAGTAGTCTTCTGTTTAAGCAGGGGACCGAAATACTCAAGTAAAGTACAATACCTTAAAAGTGTACTTAAATCCTTTACTTCACTTTCCTACCAGTCATCACGAGACACACCAAAGGAAACACACACATTGTTTCAAGTCTTTGCATTAATTCATACAATAGTGAGGATCGCACAAGCTCACAACTTGATATGTGTACAATGTGTTTCAGTACGACAGGGAGTGTGTGAAGTTAAAGGAGGTCTTAAGAGCGGAGCCTCCCAGTGGCCCTGCAGCACGACCTTTGACCCCTACAGAAAGAAATATCCAAGTAAGTTATTTACATCCATACTTATATTTTGTATGGATAAATTGTGCATAGTGTTCAAGTCATTCATTACTTGAGAAAAAAGCAGACATACTACAGTGTAAAAATACTCTGTTACAAGTAAAAATGTAAAAGTAATATTGGCGTACAAAAGGAAATGGGGTAAAAGTATAAACTGGCATAAAATATTGAAGTAAAGTACAAGTATAGCTCAAATGCATAATTTGTATATTCCTTAGTTACCCTCCACCCCTGTGTACATCTATCTCAGATCTCACCCCATGTTTCTGTGCTCCAGGTGGCTCCCGCTCCTCCTATCCCTCAAACAACGCAGGCTCTGATTGGCTGGCGCTCAGGTCATTCAAATCTTCACCTGGAAAAATACGTCACAGTGAATCATGGGAGGTGTAGTTTTCTGAAGGAACTAGGCTGGCCTTTTGGAGCTTGCAGCTGATTGGAAGTTGTGACTTTTACGGAAAAATAACTGACTGACTTATTA